ACTGCATGCATTTAATATATTATATTTTCTTCATAATGAATTTTGAAGCTTTTACATGGTTTTCTGGGGGGGAGCCTCTTCTGCTAACTGGGCTGATATGAATGTATTAGACCCTGGCATCAGTCAATGCACAATTAATTCTAGGCCTACCGAGGAGCACAAGCCAGAACCTGATCCCCTCAGAGAGGCACAAGGAGCAATGGCCTATGGAAACTCCTGTGTGGTTGGAAGCATTCCATGTCTGCCATTGACCAGGTCAGGCACCCAGAGAGGTTAGTGCCCCAAAACAAACCCCGTATTCTGCTGAAAATATTGCTACTGATAGCCAAACTAGTGGACAGAACTCCCCAAATGAAAACAAGCAAATGAGCATGATGTGCTCGATGATGTGCACCTCGCCAATGTCTGAGCAACCCCCTCTCCTCCCTGGGAGGTGGAAGGGGGAGCCCCAGACCCCCCACGTTGGCTATCCAGCTCGCAGTTCTGTGGCTGAAGTGAGGCTGGCAAGGTCGTACGACTCTGTCTCCAGATTTCCATTCCTGTGACTCGTGGGGATGATGTTGCCTGTGTACGTTGTCCTCTTGCTGGGTTTTTCTTTTGTTTTTGTTTTTTGCCTGGGAAGGGGGGGCTCTTCCCCTTGGTTTTGGTCTCGCCCACTTGTAGCTTGGTGGTCCTCCGCTTGGCCCCCCATGAGTTTAAGTTCAAATATGTTTATTGAGACAAGAAAGAAATACATCTCAAAGGGATAGAGTAGCTTAGGCTATTTCTACCCCCTCACCCCCCATGAGTGTACTCGTCCCGAGGGAGCAGCTTTAGCAGTTTGTTGGTAATTTTGGGCGCTGATTAACAGTACCCGGCCTGGGCTTCACTGAGCGTGAGTTCCGTCTCAGGGCCCTGGGAAACCCCACGGGGACACGTGGGTCCGATGGAAGCGACCCTTGGGTCCCCTCCCACCTTGTGCGAGTTTGAGTGTTGCTTGGTCCCCTTGTCTCTGGGTGACCTTCACCGTTTATGCCTCCATCATGCTGCCTGCTGGGTCAGGGACACCTTCGACCCAGTTTTGAGTTTTGCTGCTTGAGTCCTGCGAGTTTCGTTGCTTGTTTGTGACTCGGTACACCCAGTCCACTGATGACTATTTGGTGCAGGCAGCTCAGGCATTGCATGCTCGTTTTAGGTTGCTGCAGTGCGCTAGGTTGGTTGCTTTAGGTTGCTGCAGTGCACTAGGTTGGTTGCTGACCCGGAAGCTCCGAGGCTGCCCAGTTTTAGTTATAGGGACACAGACTTGGGGGTGTTAGTTGCCTTGACTTTTGTTTAGTCCGCGCACCCTTGTCCTTCCCCTGCTGTGGTTCATCCTGGTCCTTTCCCCCACCTTCCCCCTGCATCTGGCTCCGAAACGTCTGAGGGTTTATGAGTTGGGGTGGGGTTTATTTAGTTGATTTCGAGACTCGGGCGGTCTCGGGGGATGCCCCTTCCGGGGTGGCGACGGAGGCATTCGACCTGGTTCCTCCTGCCGAAGCATCTGGGTCTGACCAGTGGGCCCCTTTCCTTCCTGCTTTTCCGGCTGCTCCAGCTTCTCCTTTTGAGGCTGGGGCTTTAGGGGATGGTTCGGCCCCGGGTCCTGCAGTGGAGGTTCCCGGGGCTGGAGAGGGGTTGACTTCGGGGCCTTGGACTCCGTTGGACCCCGCTTGAGTTTTTGTACCCTCTGAGCAGGACTTGTTGTTACAAAGAGTTGGGTTTTCCTTCGGCCCCCCCCCCTCCACATATGAATTGGATTTGGTGTCAGCCCCTCCTCGGGTTCGGTTCTGTGTCCCTTCGGGTTCGTCGGTCCCGTCCTTCCGGAGGTTTTTGGCTTCCCGCCTCACAAGGTGAGGGAGGCCATTGCGGCTTACCTCTTGTGCGACCTGAATTACGCCTCTTTAATGGATCTGTATTCATTCAGGTTTGGATCTTCATTCCTTTATTGGGATCGTTATGAGGTCCGGAGTCATCCTGGCTTGCAGACTGCACTGTTTTTTTGTTGGAGGCTTGGCATACGTTCTGTCAGTCCCACATGCTTGAGTGGCGTGAGGCTCTGACGGTGGTCCAGGTTTTCCTGGGGGGGCAAGTTTGAGCACCTCAATGTGGGCTTATTCCCTTATTCCCTGCCCTTCCTTGGGATGTTGGTATCGTGCAGGAGGGCTCAGACTTCCTCCTGTCATGATAGGCCAGTGGGGCCAGTTTCAGGGCCTGCGCAGCCTACGTAACCATCTTCATCTGGTCAGCGCGGTGATCGCTCTGTGCGAAGGTCAGGTTCACGTAAGGGGCATTGGCTCTTTCCAGGTTCGTATCATTGGTGGAGCGATAGAGGGGAAGCTCCCTGAGCTTGCTCACGCCTGGTTCCATGATTTGTTGGCCCTTCGGGTCGTTTCTGGTGGCCTGCAGTGACGTTGGGTAGCCCCCTCCTCCCCCGATCAGTGCTCACCAGGCTGGCCAAGGGCGGTGGGGTCTGTCCTTCCGTCGGATCCACAGCACGGTGCGGGAGTTTGCAGTGGTGTGGTTGTCGCTTCGGAGTGTTCAGGTCGCTTGCGGATCGACGATCCGGCTTCATTCGGACTGCTCCTCGGTGGTTCATTGCCTGAACCGAGGGAGTTTGATGCCGTCCTTGGCTCTTTGGTCTGGTGAACTCAGCAGAACTCGTCTGCTGAGTTCTCAGGGTTTGGCTCTCCTGGCCGTTGACGTTTGGGGGGAGGGGGGGGGTGTCCAACTTCCTAGCGGATGGCCTGTCTCGGTTCATTCCCCTGTCCACGGAATGGACGGTCGATGCCGACTCGTTCAGTTGGCTCTGCCGGATGTACGGGCTCCCGGAGGTGGACCTCTTCACTTCGGCATGGTCAAGGCGTCTCCCTGTGTATGTGGCGCCCTTCCCTGACTGTGAGGCCGTCAGGATTGATGCCTTTCGGCAGGACTGGTCAAGGTGGGGTTACCTGTACCTCTTTCCCCCGGTTCAGCTGTTGCTACAGGTCCTAGCTCACTTGGAGACTTACCAGGGGAGAGTAGTCCTCTTGGCTCTTTGGTGGCCGGCCCAGCCTTGGTTTCAGGTGCTGCTTGCTTGGTGTGCAATCCCAGGGGGGTCTTCCCGTGGCTCTGCCCCTTTCAGCAGATCGGACCGGTCCGTTACGTAGCTGACTCGATCTTCTCCTCGAGTCTTAGCATCTGGTCTTTTTGACTCGAGTTTATCATCACTTGTATGGTGATCAGGTGGATTCGTCAATGGTGTCCCACCTGCGTGCTTCGTCTCGGCGGTAGTTTGAAGTTTAATGGCGGTCCTTCCATTTCTTTTTGTTTCTTTGTAGGTATACTTCGCTTTCTGTTAAAATTGTCTTGTCCTTTCTCTCGTTGGTTGTTTCAGGGGGCCGTCATTTTCTGCCAAATACTGTTACCTCATATTGTGTGGTGCTGGCGGAGTCGCTGCAGCTTGCTTTCAACATTGATGTTACTTCTGCGCCGTTTTGCAAGCTGTCTTGGGCGTTGTTTCACCTCCGCCCTGCTCATGCGTCACCTGAGCTGTCCTGGTTTTTGGACAGGGTGTTCTCTTATCTCTCTTCCTCTCGGTTTGTCGGCCCCTTCAGTTCAGGATTATTTTTCAAAGGCTCTTTTTCCTATTGGCTTTGGTCTTTGGGGTTGGATCGTGGAGCTTCATGATCTTCTCAGGCTCAGGGGTTTCTGGTCTTTTTGGTTCTGGTGATAGGTTTGTTCGTTTGCAGGCGTCTCCTTTTTTGGGGAAGAACAAGATGGCTGCTTTCTGCAGGGGCCCTTGGGTTGTTGATGCTTGGTTGGTTAGGCCTGGGGTGCATCATGTCTTGTGTTCGGTTGAGGCTCTCCGCCATTTTTGTGCTCCACGGCCTCCGTGTCTGAAGACGTGCTTTGGGTTGACCCGGTTTCTCTTCTTTCCTGTTCCAGTATTCGGTCCAGCCAGTCTGCAGTTTATCCCCGTGCCAACGACGTTTGTAAGTTTGCTACACTTGCTGCTGTTTGCTGTAACATGTCATGGGCTGACATTCGGGCACAGGGTTTTTGGGGGTCGAACTGGGTCCTGGCTGCACACTACATGGTCAATGTTCCTGGGCCTAGTCGGGCCTGTGTCGCTTTGAGTCGGCAGTTGCAGCCAGTTGTCTCAACTTTGAGTTGAGAGGCGACCACTTCCTGGGAAAGTCCCTTTTTGTTTTTATCTTTGGGTAAGTAGCTCCGGGGAGCCGAAGGGGCTTCTCCCAGAAAACCAGCGTTGAATATAATGAAGTGCCATTTTCTGGGTGAGACCCAGAGGCTCCCCAGCATCCTTCCCTCCCTCTGGTCAGCGTTTTTTCACGTGTTTTGACATCCAACCTCAGAACTGAAGGTGTGGGGTAGCTGGCATGAGGGGTCTGGGACTCCCCCTTTTCCCTTCCGTGGTGGGGGGGAGCTGCCCAGAAGGTGGCACTTCACGTGGTGATGTCATGCTCGTATGCTTGGTTTCATTTGGGGAGTTCTGTCCACTCGTTTGACTTTTAGTAGAGGTTTCAACCAGAATAGGGGGTTTGTTTTGGGATGCTTACCTTTCTGGGTGCCTGGCCAGGTCGATGGCAGACATAGAATGCTCCATAACCACATGTGCATTTTTATAAGGCATTGCTCCTCGTGCCTCTCTGAGGGGGCCAGGTTATGGCTTGAGGTCCCCAGTAGGCTTACAACTCCATTCACATTGATGCCAAAATCTAATATACAGTATCCATATCAGCCTGGATAGCTCTGGGAAGCCTCCGGGTCTCACCCAGAAAATGGTGTTTCATTACATTCAACAGTTTTTTTTTTTAAAGTTTTAGTTTGAATTTATAAAAATTGGATTAATCATTGTACTAGCTCATATAAGGCAATGCATTAGAATTTTAGGTTTGTACTATATTTCTATATTCAAAGTTGGCCATTTTATAAAAATAATTTTTCTCATGTTCCCATTTGAGATGACATTGTTACCTATTTTCCAGTTGTTGGGCTCAAATTCAGTGAGGAAAATAAAGGGGTTCATCAATTGTTATGGAAACAGCACACAATCCGGACACACAGTGATTTGAAGCCCACTGACCGTACTCTCTTTGTAGTCAACGTTCCACCCTACTGTACAAAGGTGAGTCATTCATGGAAATCATAATTTTAAAGTTTTTTCATGCACTTAATTACACGCTAAATATTCCTGGCTGTGATGGCTATATGGGCCTTCTGCCTGCAAAATAAAATATCCTTTAACCACTGCACTGCTCTACGCGCCTTGAGGCTCTCGATGGGTGGTGCGCAATGCACTTCAGGGATCTTATAGGTATACCGTATCATTCAAAACTCCCGCGGCTACACGGGGTTCACATCAACTTCCTCAGGGCTGTCCTAAACAGACGCCATTTAAAAGAAAATCATGGGGAACGTTTCTGAGTGTTAAAGCCTCAGTACAGTACAACCTCGATTCAACGTACTATTTGGGACCAACCCCAGTGCGTTGGATGCGTTGTAAGAGGTAACCTTCAGGAGGCGTTTGCGTCAGTATCTTTTTTTTCTTGTACACAATAAAAATGCATTATCATATTATATACTGTACCTATATATTATAACCCTACTTAAAAATACTGTGTTACATTTGTTATTTACCTTATTGTTGGAGTTGTTTCTATCTTGAAGTCTCTTGGAGTTGTGAATGTTGTACAGTAAATATATACTGTAGTGTATTATACCGTTAACACTGTGTTGATTAAGTAGTTTTGCTGTATGTTGAGTACTACAATACAGTTTATGAAAACTACTGTACACTAATATTACTGCAACTTTAATTTTAACACTATGTACATACAGTACTTAAATTTAACACTTGTTCTATCTGTTCACGCCACACACGATGTTTTTAGATGTTTGCATCAGCATAATAACAGCAAAAGGCTTATGTTGGGAGGAGCCATTTAGGTGAGGGAGTGAGTGAGGCTGTCGTCTGCTGTGTGACTTGTCATGCAGTGGCCACTATGCTGTTTGGACACCATACCAGCTTAGTTGCACAGTTATGGTGAATAAAACATATAGATAGTTATATGTAATGTGTGTTTATAGTGTAATTACACCACAAACAGTATTGTGGGAGGAGTAATGGTGGTGAGTTAGGTGTTGAAGGAGTGAGGGAGGGCTGGCTGGGTGTGGCAGTCCTCGCTTGTTTTTTTTGGGCTCACCATACCAACTTAGTGGTTCGCCATGGTAAACACACATGTAGATAGGTATATACAATGTGTGTGTGTGTGTGTGTATATGGTGTAATAATAGCAAAAACACTGTTTGATTGATCATAGAATATATTATACATGTCACATATATGAGCCTCATAATTTTGATCATAGTGATGTTCCACACATTGAACTATATAAATTACACACTTTTGAATAATATTACAGCCAAAAAACAGAGAAGAAATGAATGAGGAACATCAAAATAATTGTGAAACATTATATTCGCGGCAATTGCCGCCCCACGGGATGGCAGGGCCTAGTGACCTTGAGCGCTCCATCGCTCAGCGCCCATAATATGCTCAACTTCCCAGCTCCATCGCAGCTAAAGTATGTCACATACAATATTTTTGTTTAGTTTCCCTTGATCAGAGACTGCATTTTAACAATATAAGAAGAGAAAATGATTTTTTGGAAAGAATTTATTTTTGGAGCACCATGGGTGTGTCATATTTTAATGCAGAGCAGTGCAGTGGTTAAAGTGAAAGTGGAAAGGCTGGACCCAGGCCAGGTTGATAGAATTGAACTCAAAATTATTAACAGATAAATCAACAAGTAATATAACTGGAATGAAAACTTTTTTAGGTTACTTTTCTGAGTTGTACTAGTCGGCTGCAGCTCTAGACAAGGTCCTGCTCTCCCCATGGACAGGACAGACAGGGCAGGGCAGTATTTAACACATGTGCAGTAGGAATACTTTCAAACATTCCTGCCAGGTTATAATGACACTAAGGAGATACTGTAGAATTCTTAGTCCAGTTGAGAATGACTTTAAAAAGGCTTGGTCATCTACAATCAGAACCCTTCCAAATGCTGCCTGGCATAAAAAAGATTGAGTGTTGAATTAACCGTCTTGATGCCATTCTGAGATAAATTAAATTCTTCAATGTTCCCCTTGCACTGGTATGGCCCAACCTGGACATTTGAGAAAATCTCTGCTGTGTCTATGAAATACCAACCTGCCTTACAGTACAACCCTTTCTATGGGCTCAGCAGAATCTTGCCTAAGGGAGGATCCTAGTGGTATATTTTGAAAAAGCAGTGAAAACTCCAACCAAATTCTTTGGGTCACATTACAGTATACCAAATCAGAGTCAACAGTAGCTGGTAGGAATCAATACCCTCCCATCCCATGACACACTTCTGAATAACAACTACAATAATTATAATTCCCATTTTCTGTGACAGTAAGCCTGTGCTTAGGCTTATTGAGGTACCCCTAGGCCAATTACTGATCTTCCCCCAGGATGTAATCCACAACAGTTGCCTAACTCCCAGGTAAATATTTCACTACACAGTGAGCAGAGGCATCACGTGAAAAAGAACGTGCCCGACCAATTTTGTCTCGTCTGGTGATTGAACCCGGGTCCTTGGTTGTGAACCATGGAAGTATATGACTGCACTACAGCAGTTATTTTGGATTTTGTCATTTTGTTTTTGGGTACAGTACTGAAATTTTGGATTTTGGATGTTAGAATGCATTATATGTGAATTTGTCCATGTTTGGAGCAGGATAATATCAAATGTTATTTTTTGTTTTCAGGAGGCATTCCAACGGTTATTTTCAGAATATGGAAAAGTTCAGAATGTGTACTTTCATAAAAAGCCAACTTCAGGGCCGCCTCAGGTGGCCAAGTACCCGTATTTCTCTACCGTAGCACCAGTCTTGGTAAGTGTCTGGCACATGCATCTTAACCATCATAATAATTTTATCTTACAACTGTCATTATTGTATTCCCAGGGGCTGTTGGACATCACCTCTGGCCTCAAATTCCTGTTCTGGATTTTTGCCCTGTGTCGAAAACACGGCAAAACTATCGCCACTGTTCCGGGTTGTGTTTTGTGTGGTGGCCAGGTGTATTAGTGTACAGGAGCTGTATGCGCCTAGGTTTCTCTTCCCTAGGTGCTCCGTAAGTACAGAGTTATCTTCCCTGCAAGGGTGAAGTTAACCCTTGTGGTTCAGGGTTATCTTCCCTGGGGCGTTCGGGACTCACTCCCCCATGAGAACTTCCTCGCTTGTGGTTGTCTTCACCCTTGGGGTGTGTCGGGAATCTTGAGGCTTTCTGTCTTGCTTCGGGTAGGGGAGTGTTTTTGGCTGGGGGGGGGGGGCACTGCGGCTAGCACTGTGGTCGTAGGTGATGGGGACACCTATGACCCGGAATTTGATGTTTTAGGCTCAGCTACTCAGAACAAAAGTTCCAAGTAGCATGGGCTATGGTGAACAACCTGTAGTGGACTTGAACCCAGTCTTGCAGGACTTGTTCCCCACTTGTGCTTCAATTTACTCATTCCTTGTCTGATGATGTCAGGGATCAGGCCGCGGCTACATTGCATGCTCGATTCGCCTTCTTGCAAAGGGCCAGATTGGTTGCCCGGTTGGAAGCCCCGAAGCTGCCCCCCTTGGGTTTTAGGGACTGATTTGGGGGCATTGGTCGCTTCGGCTTTGGTTTCGTCCATGCCCCCTCTTCCTTCCCAGGTGGATGTGGTTCGCCCTGCTCTTTCTCCTCTGCTTCCGGCTCCCAAACGTCTGAGGGTTTTGGAGTCGGGGCTGGGTTTAACTCGGGATGAGGCTTGGGTGGCTTTGGGGGCTACCCCTTCCAGTTCGGGCACAGAGGTGGTTGATTCCATTTTTCCCACCGGGGCTTCTGGGTCGAACCAGCAGAAAAACTTGTCCCCTTAATTCCACTTTTTCTTCAGGGGTGGTGGGCATAGATGAGGGCTCTGCACGAGGGGCCTTTGTTGGGAGTTCCTGGGGCTCGAGGGGAGTCTGCTTGGAGTTCTTGGGCTCCTTTTGACCTTCTTGGGCCCTTGTGCCCTCTGGGCAGAGGCTGTTACTGCAGGGGAGGGTTTTTTGTACCCTTCTTCCTTTTATGAATTGGAATTAGGTGCGGCTCAACCCCCCCCCCCCAGGTTCATTTCCGGGTGCCTTTGGGTTCCTCATATTTGTCTTTCCAGAGGTTTTCTTCCTTTCAGATTTCCCATGTGGAGATTCGGGAAACCCTTAGTGCATACCTCCTGCGAGACCCGGTTGAGGTCTCTGTAATGGATCCGGTTTCTTTTGAGTTTAGTTCATCTCTCCTTTATTGAATGCGCTATGAAGTTCCGGAGTCTTCCTGGCTAGCGGACTAATACTTCTCTCTCTTGGGACGTGGCGTGGCTATTGTCGTACCCGCACGTTTGAGTGGCGAGAGGTTTCTTCGGTGTTGCAGGTATTCTTGGGGGTTTGCTTGAATTCTCAATGAGTGCCTCTTCGTCCCTGCGCTTCCTCGTGATGTGGGTCTGGTGTAGCTGCATGCACAGGTTCCCATTCTTTTGGCTGCTTTGGCGGCTGATGATCTTCGGACTTGCAGTCATTTGGTTTCGGTCATGTGTTTCTTTGGTCTTCTGGAGGTGTCATCGGATTGGCTTTCGGAGGATGAGGGGTGCTGGGTAAGGGGCCCTCGGCTGGGGTATGGGTTTCAGCTGCTGCGGCACCGTTTGCCTTGCTGAAGCTGTTTGCACCGATCCTCCAGGAGGCAGTTTTTATGTTTTTCATCTCTCGTCTCGGCAGGCCGTGCTTGCTCTGTACAGTACAGTGGCACCTCGACATACGATTGCCCCTACTTACGATAATTTCGAGTTACGATGTAAATTTCATCGAAAAATGCGACTCGACATCCGATGGTGTCGTCGACTTCCTATATTTGTTGGTACACGTTCGGGTCAACCGAGCGCATGGTTCCCAGTCACGCGGCCGACCTGCCTCAGTTTACTACAGCTGCCTGCTTAGTGACGATCGCGCCTATAAGAAATTCTGCTTTTGTGGTGACTTTTTGGATTTTGAACATTAAAGTAATTATTATATAACACACCATGAGTCCCAGGAAAGTCAGTGGTAAGGCTCAACATATGAAAACCCATATAAGGATGACCATAGAGCAGAAACTAGAGTACAGAATGTCTCTTCCTCAACAATTAAGAAAATGTGTGCAGCATGGGAAGGATGGCAAACCTTTGCTGAAACGACTCACCCAAATCAAGCTGCAGTAGGCCGTTGCCTTAACCTATTCAATGACACTGTGATGCATCATTACAGACAAATGTTAAAATGAAGGGAAAAACAAATGTCTCTTGACAAATTTGTAGTGAGACAAACAAGCACTGAACCACAACCAGGTCCTAGTGGTATTCAGGCAAAACGTAGGAGAGAGAGAGTACCCCAGAGAAAACATCACTGCCTGATGTGATAAAGGAAGGGGACTTCCCTTCCAAACAGTAACAACTCTTCTCCTCCCCCCTCATCACCATATGCCATCAAGAGCCCTCCATAAAGGTAAGATAAACTTAGGTACTGTATTGTAGTTAGAAAAAACATTGTATTCAGTATAAAATGTATTTGTATGTTAATATTTTGGAGGGTGGGGAACGGATTAATTCAATTCCCTTTAATTCTTATGGGAAAAATTGCTTCGATTTACGATATTTCGACTTACGATCCGTCTCTGGGAACGGATTAGCATCGTAAGTCGAGGCCCCATTGTATTTGGATTCAGCTTGGGCCCCTGGCACTTTAATCGTCTTCTCCATTTTGTCGTCTGCTGTTCTTGGAGGACAGTGTTGCCAATTTCTGTTGGTGGCTAACAACAATTGCTGTCCTATTTTGGACTTGTTGGTAATCTGTGAGAGTCTTTCCCAATCCTCTTAATTGGGTCACGCCAGGGCTCGGGCCGGGGTAGGCCTCTAGTGCCAGGTTCTGCTTCGATGTGTTCCCCGGTGCCTTCTTCGTCTGGTCGGCACTGTGTTCACTGTATTCTATATATCAGCATTGGCTACTGTTATATCAACAAGGTTGAGAGGTTGGCTACTCGGGGTTCGCATTGGCTCTTTTGCGAGTCGCCTTGGTGATGGGGCAATGGGGGATTGCTGGCTCTTTCCCCCCCTCTCTCCCCCCTGGGTTCGTTTCCCGGTGTCTTTGCTGCAGCTGCTGCATCACCAGCATCCTCTTCGTTTTTTGGGGGGTTTGGTGCCATGACACCTTCCTCTCCCCTCGCTCAATGTGTTCACGGTTGCCTTGTCTCTCAGTTGGGGCTTTGTAACCAGCACTCACCAGGCTGACCAGAGGCATTGGGTGCCATCCTTCCTTCGAGCTCACAGCACGGTGCAGGAGTTTGTGACTGCGTGGCAGGTGCTGTGATGGATTCGGCTTCCTCGTGGCTCTGTTATCCGGCTCCATTCGGACTGCTCCCCCATGGTTCATAGTCTCGACCAAGAAATGGGGGGGGGGATCTCATTGGTCCATGGGTCTTTGGGGCTGGTCTCTTCGAATAGTTCTTCTGATGAGTTTTCAGGTTTACCTCTCTGCACCGTTCACAATCAGGGAGTGTCCAACATCCTGGCAAACGGGCTGTCGCCCTTCATTCCTCTTTCCACGGAAAGAGGACGTCTTCTTGTCGTCGTGGTCTTGGCATCTTTCCATGTACTGTACGTGGTGCTGTACCTCAACTGTACCTCTTTCTCCCAATCCAGCTGTTGCTCCAAGTACTGGCTTGGCTGGAATCCTTTTGGAATAGAGTTCTTCTCCTGAACCTGTGGAAGCTGGTCCAGCCTTCGTTTCAGGCGCTGCTTGCTCGGTGACCGAACTCGGGCATTTTTCCGCGGCTTCTCCTTTTTCAGCAGGTCAGGCCGATGAAGTACCTCATTGGTTTGCATTTCTGACACAAGTGTCTTGCCATTTGTATGGTGATCAGGTGGCTTCTTTGATGGTGTCCCATCTGCAGTTTTCATCTCTGTGACAGTATGAGGTTTCTTGGCAGTCTCTCCATCTGTGAATTCTTCCCTAGTTGCCCTACACAAATCTAGCCCCAGAGTGGGTGCGAGATGTGATAGTTTTGTTCCCTTAACTAGAGAAAGCAAGAGCAACTGCCAAGGTCTAATTTCTTTTTCCGCCAATCACTAGGTCATTAGCTCCTCAACTGCATAAGCAGTCTAGAGGGTAGCAAATGGATTCTCACACCAAAATTTAGTATTTAGTGCTTGGGTTAATTTGGCTTGAAGCCAGAGTTTACTTGTACAAGTTATGTACAAGACTACATGTATGGTTATAACGAGACCTGGTCTCGAACCCTCTTGCATGGGCAAGAACAATATGAACTGACTGAACAGTGGTGAAAATGCTCTGACTTAACTGCAATCAACAATGATGCAATACAACTATAACAATAACAATCAAAACAATACAAGCTTTGTTGCTAAGACAATCCTCTGTTAATTACTCAAGTACGTTAACACTCGTTCCTTGGACAGCAATCAAATTAAAATGTACAATTAATTAATTATATTAATTATTTACATTAATCCTCTTGTCACACTGACAGTGACAAATCAATTAATTATGTTAATTCTGCTCCGCCAACATGCAGCGTTGGCGGAGTTGCTGCAGCTTGCGTTCTGGGTGGATGTCACTTCTGCCCCGTTTTGTAAGCTTTCTCATGCATATTTTCACTTCCAGCCTGCTCATGTGCCACCTGATCCTGCTTGGTCTTTGGACCAGGTTCTTGTTTTTCTTTCTTCTCCTCAGTTTGTGGTTGCCCCTTCAGTTCATAATTGTTTTTGGAAGGCTGTGTTTTTGTTGGCCTTGGCCTCTGGTAGTCGAGTTTGGGAGCTTCATGCCCAGTAGCAAGAAGCTCTGCCCGGTAGCTGCCTTACACTGCTACCTGCGGGCCACCGGTTCTGTGTCGGTGGATGCGCTCTGGGTTGGTCTAGTTTCCCTGGTTCCCTGTTCCAGGGCTAGTCTTTCTCAGGTTGTTCGCAGTGTCATTAAGTCTAGCCAACCTGTGTTCTACCCTTGCGCCCATGATGTACGTAAATATGCTGCTCTTTCGGCTGTTTTGGGACTATATCTTGGACCAATATTTGGGCATGGGGGTTTTGCAGATCGAACAGTGTCCTGTCCGCCAGGTACAGTATCTCGTGAACATCCTGGGTCCTTTGTGGCACCTGTCGAGGCTATCTGTCTCTTCCTCGGTTTGAGACCTGCTGTGTTTCTGCCTTCCTAGCAAGTTCCCTGTTTGTTTTCTCTGTGAGGTACAGTAGTTAGCTTCAGGGAGTCAATGGGGCTCCCCCCCAGAAAACCAGTTTTGAATGTAATGAGACACCAGTTTGTGTGTGAGCTCCGGAGGCTCCCTGACACTCTCCCTCCCTTCGGTATGCGGTTTTCATTGTTTAAGAACTGGGGTGGTGGGCTGCCAGCTCACCCAGGGTAGCTCCCTGTCCCCAAGAGGGGGGAGGAGTTTTTGGTTGATGTGTTTTTTGTTTGTCTTCTTTCTGGGGGAGATATTTTGCTCTTTTGAGGACGTAGCTTGCTTTGTGGAACCAGACAGTGATCTGTTTTGATTCGCCTACCTCTCTGGGGTCCTTTCCTGGTCGATGTCAATTATGACATACAGTACTTTAAATATAAAGTGCTCATAAGCCATTGCTCCCTGCACCTCTCTTATGCCTGCACTGGCAGGCATAAGGACTCCCGTGGATGACGACCCCAAACTAATATAGCACTACATCAGTTCGGGTAGCTTCAAAGAGCCTCCAGGGCTCACGCAGAAACTGGTGTTTCATTGCATTTAATGCTGGTTTCTTATTAAATATATAAACAACCATTTATTTTATTGCATATTAATATTTTAGTGAATTTGATATTTGAATAATACATAATAGCTTAATCAATACTGTACTTAATATAAATGTATTTTAATGTAATTGTATTAGCATTCATTTAGCTCTTGTTTTTGAAGTCAATATCTTTATTTTTAGGGCTTCAAAGTGGCTTACATAGTATTTACACATTCATCTGCAATCAAGAAAGCCATGTCTGTTTCACCTGCCACAGTCTTGGTACTGTCTTCACAGGAACACCCAATACTAACAGGAGTGCAGAGTGAGTACCATAGCCATCGTCTTGCTCTTGTAATACTGTAGTGTTATTATTGATTTGTAAATCTATATTTTGTGGTGTTCCTTGCCAAGAACTGCTCTTGAGAGGGAGTGTTCACTTGTTCAATACACTACAGTTACTCGGGTAATCTTTGTTACTCTCCATCTCTGCCTTTTATAGGTTTTCCCCAATACTATACTCCAATAAATTATATTAATGTTATGTTTTTTCCAGAATGGCGGCAGCAATACAATGAACAGTTTGTCAGCCAAGCCAAAATGAATGACGAAATTAAAGGCCTGATGGCAGAGTATGACAGGAAAAAAGAACAAGAAAAAGCAGCAGCCCAACAGGAGCCTGATGATGAAGGCTGGGTCACAGTTACCTCAATGTGAGTACTCCTTCTATGGTTTCTTTGACCCTTAACCCCTGCACTGCTCACCCATTTTCGGCAAAAATGTCTTGGTGCAATTCTCAAGGATATATATTTTTTATAATTGTTCAGGTAAAGTTAATGTCAAAATGTTTCCAAAGTCAACTATTTCCATTTCAAAACAGAGTAATGAAAACATTTAAAAATATTAAAATATAGCCTAATTAAAAAACAAAAAGCACAAATCTCAGAGCGCCTAAAGGCGCTTTGCGCAGTGCAGTGGTTAAACGGCCCCAGTCGCTATCTGTGATGACCTGTGTTCGAATCTCCAAATCCATTTTGTTTCACTAGTTTTGTGAATTTGTTTTGTCTTGCACTCCAAAATGTAAGACTTAATTACCTGAGTCATTTAAGGAGCCAATAATGTCATGACACTCCAACCTGTCCTCTTAAAAAGAACATCGCTTTTGGCCGTTTGCCCGTATGGCCAAATTTGGACGTAATTTGAAAATGAAAAAAATTTTGAAAATAAATTTGGGATTTTTTTTTTCAACAACAGTAAGTTAAGGGTCCTCTGATAGGTTAGGTGGGCAGGAAATTCTCATAAAGTTTCAAAACGTTATGAAAAACGTGAATTTAAAGTGTCCTCTCATAACCTCTGCGCGTAGGCCGGACGACTCGAATAGAAAACGGAACAGAACGTCACTTTTGTGAGTCGATTTCATTTCAAATTACGTCCAAATTTGGCCATAGTGCGCATACGAGTGAAAAGTGACGTTATTTTTAAGAGGACGGGTTGGACAATCATCATCATCCGTTTCCTAGAGGAAACAGATGTTTTCTCAAACCTTTCCATGAAACAGATCTGTTTCCTAGAGGAAACAGGGAAACAGGGTAAGGTAGTTTATCGGGGGAGGGGGGGGGGGAAGCACTAAGCCAGTATGTGACTATATAGTACATGGAAGAGGTAGGATGATAGGATAGGACAGGGTTAAGGAACATTGCCCAACCACTTGAACATGATTGCCTGCTGACCTCCAAGAAGACACACGGTCCCTGTACCAACTAGTCCAAGTGGATTGATTTACATGCCAAAGTAAGTTAAGGATATTATACAGTGGCATGTCCCTTAAACACTGTCTCTGTCTCTTAAGCAATGTCTTAAACACTGCATAGTATCACAGAGAACCAGCAACACCACACTGCAGTGAAATCATCCACAGGAGCATGCCACTGCTGCATTCTCTACCACATCCTGTGCACTGGTGCTTTCCCTGCATGTTCATTCCAATAACAGTACCACTCCTCTTCAGGTTTATTTTAATACACACTTCATAATTATTATTATTCATTAGTTTTCAGGAAACCTTCTTGGAACACACTACGTATATGTATTCTTGGGGTTTTATGACTTACAGTGAAGTTTGTTCATTCTTTATTCTTCCTAGTCTCCTAACATTGTTCAGTACTGTACATGTAATTTTATCGGGCGGAGTCACTCATCCTTTGAGTGAAAATTACTGTACTGTCATAGCAGCATGTACAACACCCCTCAAATAGGAAGAAAACCTGCTGGGTTGTTCATCCTATCACTGGTACCCAAATTCAGCTGAGACTTGAGTGTCAGCTGGTTGGTACAGTGGTTGTCCAGCTGGTCCAACCAACTGGACTGGTTCGCACAGTGACAGTGTCTCTTCTAGGAGGTCAGCATGCAATCTCCAATGGTTCAAGTGGTTGGGCAACGTTCCTTCACCCTGTTCAAGTTTAACTGTTTCAAGTTAGCAGACTGTCAAACAAGGTATTAACATATTGTAACTCAAGTTTGTTATCTTGTGGGTTCAAGGCATGGAAATCTTTTATGGACAGTATTTATATTTAACAAGGTTCTTTTCTATGATTGAGGATGTCATGTGCAACTGCATTGTACCAGCATTCATATCACTGACTTGCTTTGCTATCATTCTTGTCTTCAGTTATCTTGTCACAGTATTGTTGCCTGATGATACCTTTGATTTGTCAAAAGATCTTTGGGATAAAATATTTAATATGGTCTTCTTCAGCACCCTTGGCAAGCAGCACATTTACTTAATCATTTATACAGATTCCAACATGAGAGGAAATCCATAAGAACTCGATCAATTATTTTTTTGCTGGATAGCATTTTTACAATTCTCTTGTGTCAGTGCAGATCACTGCTTCTCTTGTGCTCCATTCTAGATATCTTGATGCCATAACAATGGCAGTGAGCTCTGTTTGTATTACCTGTTACCTGTTAATGATTTCGTGTATCAACATCCCCATAACCTGACAGCTGAGTCTACAGCGCTTTGGATTCGTAGTCCTGAGGTTCCAGGTTCGATCCCCGGTGGAGGCAGAAACAAATGGGCAGAGTTTCTTTCACCCTGATGCAGCTGTTCACTTAGTAGTACAGTAAATAGGTACCTGTGAGTTAGACAGTTGCTTCCTGGGGGATCTATAACAAAAAGGAGGCCTGGTCAATGACCAGGCCTCCCACATCCCTGCCGATGTGTTGTCTGTAGTTTTGGTAAGTTTGTACTCGCCTCGTTGTGCTCTTCTACTTGTGCTTGCCGGGGTTGAGCTTTGGCTCTTTGGGCCCCGCCTCTTACCTGTCATTCTACTCACCTAGTTGTGCTTGCGAGGGTTAAGCTTTGGCTCTTTGGTCCCACCTCTCAACCATCAATCTACTGTTGTACAGATTCCTGAGCTTCTCAAACTCCATCATATCTACATTTGAAACTGGGTATGGAGTCAGCCTCCACCACATCACTTCCTAGTACATTCTATTTACTAACTACTGTGACACTGAAAAAGTTCTTTCTAATGTCTCTGTGGCTCATTTGGGTACTCATCTTCTACCTGTCCTCTTGTGCGTGTACCACCCGTGTTAAATAATCCATCCTCCTCCTCTACCCCTGTCAATTCCCCCTGAGAATTTTGTATGTGGTGATCATGTCTCCCGGAGCTCTTCTGTCTTTCAGCGACATGAGGTGTAGTTTCCTCAGCCTTTCCTCGTAACTCATGCCTCTTAGTTCTGGGAATAACCTCGTGGCATACCTCTGAACTTTTTCCAGCTTCGTTTTGTGCTTGACAAGGTATGAACTCCATGCTGGGGCTGCATACTCCAGAATTAGCCTTACATATGTGGTATACAAGGTTCTGAAAGATTCCTTACACAGGTTTCTGAAGGCAGTTCTGATATTAGCCAGCCTCGCATATGCCGCCGATGTTATTCTTTTGATGTGGGCTTCAGGAGACAGGTTTGGCGTGATATCAACTCCTAGATCTTTCTCTCTGTCCATTTCGTGAAGGAATTCATCTCCCATTTGGTATCCAGTGTCTGACCTTCTATTTCCTCCCCCTAGTTTCATTACCTTACATTTACTTGGGTTAAATTTTAGTAGCGTGTACTGGTGTATACGTTTCTGAGCTCCTTGAGCTCCTGTATTTGCAGCCTCCACCTCATCACTGCCTCTTGCATTCCCTTTCCTTAGTACTCTGCCTATGGGCATGTTCATTTTCATGTCTCTGTGGCTCCTTAGGTACTTGGTTTCCACCTGTGTCCCATTATGGGGGGTACCAATCGTATTCCTTTATTCATCTTTTCTACCCTGTTTGTTCCCCCTGAGGACTTGCGGGTGATGGTCATGTCTCCTGGTCTTGTGTTCCCGGGGCTGTCTTGTCTTGTGTGTGAGACTGTGATACTTCTGTGTATTATTACCTCAGTCTTGTGTTCACAGCCTGTCGTCATTGGCTTGTTTTTATTATTTTATTATGGGCACCAATTTTGTGTCTAGCGCCCTTGCCCTGTATACAGTACTTATCTGGCTCCCTAGCCTCCGGCACTCAGTATTTTGTCTGTATTACGGTTGTTTTAAGGGTGGGGCTCAATTTTATTCAAAGAAAAACTATTTTTAATTAACATTGGTTATCTTATCCGCCAGCAAATGCGGCAGGTAGGGCTTCCCCCAGGTTCGCTTCCGGGTGTCCTTGGGTTTCTTGGATTCGTCTCTTCGGAGGTTTTCTTCTTGTCGGCTATTCCCTGTGGAGATTTGGGAGGCCCTTGGTGAATACTTCCTGTGAGACCCAGTTTATACCACTGTGTTGGATCTAGTTTTGTTTGAGTTTGGTTCCTCTTACACTGCTTATGAAATCTCTCTCTTAAATATCCTACTGTATTCTTTATGGAATGTTAATCTCATAGATGATGCATGAACACTAGTTGTATTGACTTATACAGGTGTCATAAGAATTAATGAATTGAAATTGAAATTGAAATAAGTTTATTGAGGTAAAATACACACAAAGGGATGAGGTAGCTCAAGCTATTCTCACCCCGCTCAGTACATCGTGTTAATACATACATAGACACACATCACAAACAATAAACATATTACCAAACATTCTGAGAGATAAACATATACATTTCCTATTAATGAATTAGTTTAGGGTAAATCCACCTGGAAAGGGAATTAGGGATAGGTAAAATACAAATACAAATTTTATTTATTTGCAAAAATATTTTACAATAGGCAAAAGCTTCAGGCTCAACATTCCGCAATGTAGGACAGAAAACAAGAGATGGTGAACATTTGACAGGCTTCCTGTCACCATTGAGGCTGTTAAAGAGATGGTTGTCCTAAGGTAAATTCAGATATAATGTTAAATTCAGAAATATATTTACACATTAAAAATATATCTCCTGTTAAAATGATACCTTGAGTTTCTGGAAAGGAGCTCCTTATAGCTCTCTGTAGCTATCTCACTGAGATGGGGATGAGTTTGTTCTACTGGGGACCAGAGCCAGAACCTGCCACTTCCCTCACAGAGGTAGAAACCCCAGAAATTCAAGGTATACTCAAGGAGGTGCAGAGAGCAAGTGACATTCCACTACCTCACCGAGGAGGGCACAAAGAAAGTCAGCAAACCAATACAAACCACTGCTTGGTTGAAAGAGAGTGAAACCTCACAATCCACTGAATGAACTCGCCAACAATGTAAACAAACTGATCAGGTGCATTTTTGAGGTTCCGGTGTCCTCCTGGCTGGCAGGCTGCCTCGACGACTGGTTGTTGTGGGCTCCCTACCGGTCTGCTTGTCTGCTATCCGGGGTTCTGGTTCTTTCCCAGCTTGCCAGATTCGAATTTCCGGTAACTTGACGGAAATCCCAATTGGTTCCGCCCCGGGTTCGGGCTTGGCTGGGCCTAGTGTGGGGATACCTGGTTGATACCTGGTTACCTGGTTGATACCTGGTTGATACCTGGTTACCTGGTTGATACCTGGTTGATGGGGTTCTGGGAGTTCTTCTACTCCCCAAGCCCGGCCCGAGGCCAGGCTTGACTTGTGAGAGTTTGGTCCACTAGGCTGTTGCTTGGAGCGGCCCGCAGGCCCACATACCCACCACAGCCCGGTTGGTCCGGCACTTCTTGGAGGAATAAGGGGGAGGAATGGAGGGGTTTTTGGATTGTATCCATTTCACTCTCTCCTGTGGCGTTGCTCTCGTTGCGGTCCTGCCTTCAGCTGTTGAGGGGGACCCCAGTCATTTGGCGGTTACTTGAGCAGCTGTGCGGGAGCCTGCACTTTGCCCTGCTGGTTTACCTACTGGGCAGGGTTTGGCTTCAGAGGCTGTTCTGGTATCTTTGGAGCGGCCTCGTTTACTGCTCTCACGTTTGCTGGGTTTATTCCCTGTTCCCAATAACACCATGGTGTTATTGCACACAAAATGAGTTCAAAAGGAATTACCGGAAAAATAGGCAGATGGATCTACAATTTCCTGACTAATAGAACCCAATGTGTAATAGTCAACAAAATCAAATCCGGTCCATCAACCGTGAAGAGCTCAGTCCTCCAGGGTACTGTGCTTGCTCCAGTACTTTTTCTCATCCTCATATCGGACATAGACAAGGACACAACCTATAGTACTGTATCATCCTTTGCAGATGACACTAGGATTTTTATGAGAATAGACAACATAGAGGACACGGCAAACCTCCAATCAGATGTAAATCAGGTCTTTCTATGGGCTACAGAAAATAATATGGTGTTTAACGAAGATAAGTTCCAGCTCATGCGCTACGGAAAAAAGGAAAATATAAAAACGGAAACCATGTACAAAACGCAGGCAAATCATAACATAGAACGAAATGGCAATGTATAGGATTTGGGTGTACTCATGTCGGAAGACCTTACATTTAAAGAACACAATAAAGTAGCCGTCACAACTGCAAGAAAAATGACAGGTTGGATAACAAGAACCTTTCACACTAGAGATGCTATACCAATGATGATACTTTCACGACACTAGTGCTCTCTAGAGTGGAATACTGTTGCACAATGACAGATCCTTTCAAAGCTGGAGAAATTTGGTGACCTAGAGAGCATGCAGAGATCCTTTACTGCTAGCATCCACTCAGTAAAGCTTCTAAACTATTGGGACCGACTAAAGAGCCTAAATCTGTATTCTCTCGAGTGCAGGTGGGAGAGATACATAATAATTTACACATGGAAAATAGTAGAAGGGCTGGTCCCAAACCTGTACACAGAAATAACATCACATGAGACCAGAAGGCATGGCAGGATGTGCAGAATACCCCCGTTGAAAAGCAGAGGTGCAACAGGTACTATGAGGAAGAATTCTATCAACATCAGAGGCCCGAGGCTGTTCAACACGCTTCCACTTCACATAATGGGCATAACTGGCCGACCCTCACAGTGTTCAAGAGAGAGAACTTGACAAACACCTCCAAAGGATACCTGATCAACCAGGCTGTGACTCTACATCAGGCTGCGAGCAGCCGCATCCAACAGCCTGGTTGACCAGTCCAGCAACGAGGAGGTCTGGTCGATGACCGGGCCGCGGGGTCGCTAAGCCCTGGAATCACCTCAAGGTAAGGATGTGGGCTCTTATCTTTGATAAGGACTTGAGGACTTGACTTGATAAGGGGTGAGGACTTGAAAGCCAATACAGTATGCCAGTTACTAGAACAAAAAAGGTGCATTTTACAAAGCTGGTAATTTTCTGTAATTTTTTTAATCCTCAGGAAGAAAAAGAAGCCAAAGGTAGAGAAAGTGGATGAATTAAAAAGCAAGAAGAATAGGAAGAAAAAGAAACGACAGCAGTTGGTTAATTTCTACACCTTTCAGCACAGACAAGCAAAGATGGATCGTGAGTATCTTGATTGGGACTCTTCACCCCCACCTTCCTTGTCCCTTCTTCACCCTTCCCTGACCCTCCCCCCCCTTTCCCTGCCCCTTCTTCACCCTTCCCAACCAGGCTGTGACCTGATCAACCAGGCTGTGACTCATACGTCAGGCTGCAAGCAGCCGCGTCTAACAGCCTGGTTGATCAGTCCAGCAACCAGGAGGCCTGGTCGACGACCGGGCCGCGGGGACACTAAGCCCCGGAAGCACCTCAAGGTAGCCTAAGGTAGCTTCCCTGCCCCTTCTTCACCCTTCCCTGACCCTCCCCCCCCCACCTTCCATGACCCTCCCCCCCCCTTCCCTGCCCCTTCTTCACCCTTCCCTGACCCTCCCCCCACCTTCCCTGCCCCTTCTTCACCCTTCCCTGACCCTCCCCCCCCACCTTCCCTGCCCCTTCTTCACCCTTCCCTGACCCTCCCCCCACCTTCCCTGACCCTCCCCCCCACCTTCCCTGCCCCTTCTTCACCCCTTCCCTGACCCGCCCCCCCACCTTCCCTGACCCTCCCCCCCTTCCCTGCCCCTTCACCCTTCCCTGACCCTCCCCCCCCCTTCCCTGCCCCTTCTTCACCCTTCCCTGACCCTCCCCCCCCTTCCCTGCCCCTTCACCCTTCCCTGACCCTCCTCCCCCTTTCCCTGCCCCTTCTTCACCTTCCCTGACCCTCCCCCCCCACCTTCCCTGACCCTCCCCCCCCCCACCTTCCCTGACCCTCCCCCCCCCTTCCCTGCCCCTTCACCCTTCCCTGACCCTCCCCCCCTTCCCTGCCCCTTCTTCACCCTCCCTGACCCTCCCCCCCCCCCACCTTCCCTGACCCCCCCCCCCCCCTTCCCTGCCCCTTCACCCTTCCCTGACCCTCCCCCCCCCTTCCCTGCCCCTTCTTCACCCTTCCCTGACCCTCCCCCCCCCCCACCTTCCCTGACCCTCCCCCCCCCCTTCCCTGTCCCTCCCCCCCCCCCACCTTCCCTGACCCTCCCCCCCCTTCCCTGCCCCTTCACCCTTCCCTGACCCTCCCCCCCTTCCCTGTCCTTTCTTCACCCTTCCCTGACCCTCCCCCCCCCCACCTTCCCTGCCCCTTCTTCACCCTTCCCTGACCCTCCTCCCCCACCTTCCCTGACCCTCCCCCCCTTCCCTGCCCCTTCTTCACCCTTCCCTGACCCTCCCCCCCCCCTTCCCTGCCCCTTCTTCATCCTTCCCTGACCCTCCCCCCCCCCCCCACCTTCCATGACCCTCCCCCCCCTTCCCTGCCCCTTCTTCACCCTTCCCTTACCCTCCCCCCACCTTCCCTGCCCCTTCTTCACCCTTCCCTGACCCTCCCCCCACCTTCCCTGACCCTCCCCCCCACCTTCCCTGCCCCTTCTTCACCCTTCCCTGACCCGCCCCCCCCCACCTTCCCTGACCCTCCCCCCCTTCCCTGCCCCTTCACCCTTCCCTGACCCTCCCCCCCCTTCCCTGCCCCTTCTTCACCCATCCCTGACCATCCCCCCCCTTCCCTGCCCCTTCACCCTTCCCTGACCCTCCTCCCCCCTTTCCCTGCCCCTTCTTCACCCTTCCTCTCACGTTTGCTGCCCTGACCCTCCCCCCCCCCCTTCCCTGACCCTCCCCCCCCCCCTTCCCTGCCCCTTCACCCTTCCCTGACCCTCCCCCCCCCTTCCCTGCCCCTTCTTCACCCTTCCCTGACCCTCCCCCCACCTTCCCTGACCCTCCCCCCCACCTTCCCTGCCCCTTCTTCACCCTTCCCTGACCCGCCCCCCCCCACCTTCCCTGACCCTCCCCCCCTTCCCTGCCCCTTCACCCTTCCCTGACCCTCCCCCCCCCCCTTCCCTGCCCCTTCTTCACCCTTCCCTGACCCTCCCCCCCCTTCCCTGCCCCTTCACCCTTCCCTGACCCTCCTCCCCCTTTCCCTGCCCCTTCTTCACCCTTCCTCTCACGTTTGCTGCCCTGACCCTCCCCCCCCCCCCCACCTTCCCTGACCCTCCCCCCCCCCCCTTCCCTGCCCCTTCACCCTTCCCTGACCCTCCCCCCCCCTTCCCTGCCCCTTCTTCACCCTTCCCGTGCTCACCCTTCCCTGACCCTTCTTCCCCCCCCCCCCCCCGCACCTTCCCTGACCCTCCCCCCCCTTCCCTGCCCCTTCACCCTTCCCTGACCCTCCCCCTCCTTCCCCTTTCCCTGCCCCTTCCTTCCACCCTTCCTCGCACGTTTGCTGCCCCTGACCCTCCCCCCCCCCCCCCTTCCCTGACCCTCCCCCCCCCCCCCCCCTCCCTGCCCCTTCACCCTTCCCCCCTCCCCCCCCCTTCCCTGCCCCTTCTTCACCCTTCCCTGACCCTCCCCCCCCCCACCTTCCCTGACCCTCCCCCCCCTTCCCTGCCCCTTCCACCCTTCCCTGACCCTCCCCCCCTTCCCTGCCCCTTCTTCACCCTTCCCTGACCCTCCCCCCCCCCACCTTCCCTGACCCTCCCCCCCCTTCCCTGTCCCTCCCCCCCCCCCCCACCTTCCCTGACCCTCCCCCCCCTTCCCTGCCCCTTCACCCTTCCCTGACCCTCCCCCCCTTCCCTGTCCTTTCTTCACCCTTCCCTGACCCTCCCCCCCCACCTTCCCTGCCCCTTCTTCACCCTTCCCTGACCCTCCCCCCCCACCTTCCCTGACCCTCCCCCCCTTCCCTGCCCCTTCTTCACCCTCTGCCCCCTCCCCTGCTTTCCCTCCTCTGCCCTCTCCCCCTTCCCTCCCCCCTCTCCCTTCTCTCCCCCCTCCCCCTTTCCCTACGCTCCCCTCCCTCCCCCCCCTTTCCCTACTCTCCCCCCTATCTCTCCTCTGCCCCCTCCCCTGCTTTCCCTCCTCTGCCCTCTCCCCCTTCCCTCCCTCCTCTGCCCTCTCCCCCTTCCCTCCCTCCCCCCCTCTCCTCCCTCCGACTCCCTCCTCTCCTCCCCCTTTTGTTTAAAGTGCTCCTACAGAATGTTTTATCTTGCTTTCTAGATCTTGCTCAACTACGTAAGAAGTTTGAAGAGGACAAGAAGAGGATAAACCTAATGAAGGAGTCAAGGAAGTTCCGGCCATACTGACCCATCAACTGCACACAGGAAAATTATTTAATGTGATACATAAGGTTTAGTAGAGAAGGGGGCGAAGAATGCCTGTAAACCAATACTGTATCGTAATATTTAACCTATTAAATAGAATTCTCATTGATGCTTTTGATTTACACAAATATACATGAACATTGGGTTGCTGTTTCCTTCCACTTAACCTGGATGCCAAGCCCCAAAATCATCTCAAGATAACCTCAAGAATCTCAAGATAACCTCAAGAATCTCAAGATAACCTCAAGAATCTCAAGATAACCTCAAGAATCTCAAGATAGCCTCAAGAATCTCAAGATAACCTGTTTCAATCTTCATTCTATGATAGAATGAAGTCCTAACAATACAAAGAAAAAAAAAAGTGTTCCTTGCAGAAAACAAATAGAATTACATTATCTAACATCTGCCATTATTCTGAAAATAATTTACTTTAATTGCTATAATGAAAAATTATACAATTGTTTTAAAAACAACAAATTGGCAGAATTTGAAACCGTCCCAGTCATGTTCAATACTCTTATATTGGCACTTGATTGAAGCCTTTCTTACTCAATAATTTTTATTCTATTTTCTTTGCATACTGCTTCATTTTATAGATTATGTCTACTGGCAAGAGTAGTCTTGCTTGACTAGTTAGATGGAACAGGATGCATCTTAAGCGATGAAAAATGATCGTGGTCTGAGAGCGAGGCAGCTGGCTGTAGGCACTGTTTCTGAAACGAATAAAGATTTTAAACTATTGTACGTGTTAGGAGAGTTTTGGTGGCAAACTTCCTTCTTTTTAATAAAGTTGGATTTCCCCCTCCCTCCCTTCATTATTTTTACAAAGAAATATCACTCTTCAAAAAGTAAAGTACAAAATAAAATAATTACATTGAAATTAAAAATGACAAATTTCTCTAGTGAGAACACTTTATTGGAAAGCCAAAAGGGATTTTAGAATTATAGTCTGTCAAGGTCTCCTGGTATGGTTTCCATAAACAATACTTAAGATATTATTTATGCTATATAGAAATAGTTGTATGATTGCTTCTGTACTAAAGGGAAGGAGAGGGCGGAGGTCCTGCCTGCACGCTCTGCTAATCTGGAAGGTCACCAGGTGTGGCATACAACATCCTTCTTGTGGCCAAATGATAAAAGTGTACCTAACATGGCCCATGATATGGATATGCCAATACATTTTGAGTGTCGTGCATTTGGTGTTTGACGCAGCCGGGTTACGGTGTTACAAGAGTTGAAGCTACCTTCATCCTTGCTAGCTCCCTCCTGTCGGGAAGCTCACCCATAGCATTGAAGATGTTATGATGATGAAAAAAGTGTGAATAGCAAAGACGTATCACCATTTTTAACCATTTGCCATGCCAGGTACCTCACCTTATACTCTACATAAATATAACATTTTATTTTTGTTGATAATTTGTTATTGTACAAGTACTGTAAAGTTGCTAACACGTACTTTTGTGTCCCTAATAAGCATACCTTGACTTCTGACAAGAGTCCTGCAGATCATATTTTTCCTTGGCCATCTTTTTACAGATAGTAAACAGCTCAAAACAAATTATAAAAAAAAAAGGCATCATGGAAGAATATTTTAAGAAAAACAATGTAAATTTGCGAGTTCTAGCTCTAGGAACACCATCATCTACAACCAAATCTACGATAATTAAAACCAATGACCCTTCTGAAGAAAAAAATTACCTTTACAAAAAATTACAAAAATTACAATTACAATATTAAAACAGCATTAAGGCAAGCGCGATTTTCGCCGCTAGCGGCCAAAAACCGTGCGATTTTCGCCGCTAGCGGCCAAAAACCGTGCGATTTTCGCCACTAGCGGCAAAAACTGTGCGATTTTCGCCGCTAGCGGCCAAAAATCGGGTGATTTTTGCCGCTAACGGCCAAAAACCGCGCTATTTTCGACGCTAGCGGCCAGAAACCATGCGATTTTTCCAGCTGGCGGGCAAAAATCGCGTGATTTTCGCCGCTACCGGACAAAAACCGCTTGATTTTCACCGCTAGCGGCCAAAAACCGTGCGATTTTCACAGCTGGCGGGCAAAAATCGCGCGATTTAAGCCGCTACCGGCCAAAAATCGTGCAAATTTCGCCGCTAGCGGCCAAAAATCGCGCGATTTTCGCCGCTAGCGACCAGAAACTATGCGATTTTTGCAGCTGGCGGGCAAAAATAGCGCGATTTTCTCCGCTACCGGCCAAAAACCGCGCGATTTTCGCCGCTAGCGGCCAAAAACCATGCGATTTTTGCAGCTGGCGGGCAAAAATAGCGCGATTTTCTCCGCTACCGGCCAAAAACCGCGCGATTTTCGCCGCTAGCGGCCAAAAACCATGCGATTTTCGCAGCTGGCGGGCAAAAATAGCGCGATTTTCTCCGCTACCGGCCAAAAATAGCGCGATTTTCGCCGCTAGCGGCCAAAAACCGTGCGATTTTCGCCGCTAGCGGCCAAAAATGGGGCGATTTTTGCCGCTAGCGGCCAAAAATCGTGCAAATTTCGCCGCTAGCGGCCAAAAATCGTGCGAATTTCGCCGCTAGGGGCCAAAAATCGCGCGATTTTCGCCGCTAGCGGCCAGAAACTATGCGATTTTTGCAGCTGGCGGGCAAAAATAGCGCGATTTTCGCCGCTACCGGCCAAAAACCGCGCGATTATCGCCGCTACCGGCCAAAAATAGCGCGATTTTTGCGGCTAACGGCCGAAAACCGCGCTATTTTCGACGCTAGCGGCCAAAAACCATGCGATTCTTGCAGCTAGCGGGCAAAAATCGCGCGAATTTCGCCGCTACCTGCCAAAAATCGACCAATTTTCGCCGCTAGCGGCCAAAAAAGGGGCGATTTTTTGCCGCTAGGGGCCAAAAATCGCGCGATTTTCGCCGCTAGCGGCCAGAAACTATGCGATTTTTGCAGCTGGCGGACAAAAATATCGCGATTTTCGCTGCTACCGGCCAAAAACCACACGATTTTCGCCGCTACCGGCCAAAAACCGCGCGATTTTCGCCGATTGCGGCCAAAAACCCTGCGATTTTCGCCGCTAGCGGCCAAAAATCGAGCGATTTTTGCGGCTAACGGCCGAAAACCACGCTATTTTCGACACTAGCGGCTAGAAACCATGCGATTTTTGCAGCTAGCGGGCAAAAATCGCACGAATTTCGCCGCTACCTGCCAAAAATCGACCGATTTTCGCCGCTAGCGGCCAAAAAAGGGGCTATTTTCGCCGCTAGCGGCCAAAAATCGTGCGAATTTCGCCGCTAGGGGCCAAAAATCGCGCGATTTTCGCCGCTAGCGGCCAGAAACTATGCGATTTTTGCAGCTGGCGGGCAAAAATAGCGCGATTTTCGCCGCTACCGGCCAAAAACCGCGCGATTATCGCCGCTACCGGCCAAAAATAGCGCGATTTTTGCGGCTAACGGCCGAAAACCGCGCTATTTTCGACGCTAGCGGCCAAAAACCATGCGATTTTTGCAGCTAGCGGGCAAAAATCGCGCGAATTTCGCCGCTACCTGCCAAAAATCGACCGATTTTCGCCGCTAGCGGCCAAAAAAGGGGCGATTTTTTGCCGCTAGGGGCCAAAAATCGCGCGATTTTCGCCGCTAGCGGCCAGAAACTATGCGATTTTTGCAGCTGGCGGACAAAAATAGCGCGATTTTCGCCGCTACCGGCCAAAAACCACGCGATTTTCGCCGCTACCGGCCAAAAACCGCGCGATTTTCGCCGCTAGCGGCCAAAAATCGTGCGAATTTCGCCGCTAGGGGCCAAAAATCGCGCGATTTTTGCTGCTAGCGGCCAGAAACTATGCGATTTTTGCAGCTGGCGGGCAAAAATAGCGCGATTTTCGCCGCTACCGGCCAAAATCCATGCGATTTTCGCCGCTAGCGGCCAAAAATCGTGCAAATTTCGCCGCTAGCGGCCAGAAACTATGCGATTTTTGCAGCTGGCGGGCAAAAATCACGCGAATTTCGCCGCTACTTGCCAAAAACCGCTTGATTTTAGCCGCTAGCGGCCAAAAACCTTGCGATTTTCACAGCTAGCGGGCAGAAATCGCGTGATTTAAGCCGCTACCGGCCAAAAATCGCGCGATTTAAGCCGCTAGCGGCCAAAAATCACGCGATTTCTGCCCGCTAGCTGTGAAAATCGCAAGGTTTTTGGCCGCTAGCGGCTAAAATCAAGCGGTTTTTGGCAAGTAGCGGCGAAATTCGCGTGATTTTTGCCCGCCAGCTGCAAAAATCGCATAGTTTCTGGCCGCTAGCGGGAAAAATCGCGCGATTTTTGGCCGCTAGCGGCGAAATTTGCACGATTTTTGGCCGCTAGCGGCGAAATTTGCAAGATTTTCGCAGCTTGCGGCCAAAAATCGGGCGATTTTTGCGGCTAACGGCCGAAAACCGCGCTATTTTCGACGCTAGCGGCAAGAAACCATGCAATTTTTGCAGCTAGCGGGCAAAAATCGGGCGAACTTCGCCGCTACCTGCCAAAAACCGCGCGATTTTCGCCGCTACTGGCCAAAAACCATGCGATTTTCGCTGCTGGCGGGCAAAAATCGCGTGATTTTCGCCGCTACCGGCCAAAAACAGCTTGATTTTCGCCGCTAGCGGCCAAAAACCGTGCGATCTTCACAGCTGGCGGGCAAAAATCGCCCGATTTAAGCCGCTACCGGCCAAAAATCGCCCGATTTAAGCCGCTAGCAGCCAAAAATCTTGCAAATATCGCCGCTAGCGGCCAAAAATCGCGCGATTTTCGCCGCTAGCGGGCAGAAACTATGCGATTTTTGCAGCTGGCGGGCAAAAATAGCGCGATTTTCGCCGCTACCGGCCAAAAACCATGCGATTTTCGCAGCTGGCGGGCAAAAATCGCGATTTTCGCCGCTACCGGCCAAAAATAGCGCGATTTTCGCCGCTAGCGGCCAAAAACCATGCGATTTTTGCAGCTGGCGGGCAAAAATCGCGTGATTTTCGCCGCTACCGGCCAAAAACAGCTTGATTTTCGCCGCTAGCGGCCAAAAACCGTGCGATCTTCACAGCTGGCGGGCAAAAATCGCCCGATTTAAGCCGCTACCGGCCAAAAATCGCCCGATTTAAGCCGCTAGCAGCCAAAAATCTTGCA